ACGATGAGGCTCAGAATGTGCACGTAGCGGAACGGGACCTGCGAGTCGGTGTAGGTGAATAGCTTCCCGATCGAATCTCGCGCCGCGCAGCAAAAATCCAGCAGCTTGGGGAACATCGTCACGGCGTGGGGCATGCGGCTGCCCCCGTGGGCCGCCTCCCCGTACGCGAGGTGGGCCATGTAGCTGCACATCCACGCCCAGACGCACTGTGGGCGGGAGGAGAGCGGCCCTATGATGGCCGCCTCCTCTTGCAGCAGCAGGCCCTTGTCGACCAGATCCTGGAAGTCGTCCTCGCTGCGGATCTGCTTGTACATCAGCTCGTGGGACAGGACGCCCCAGCGCAGCACACGCTCGCGCACCGCGCGGTCCTCCTCGGAGTCCTGCGGAAACAGGGCCCCCACGATCATGATGATGTCGTCCAGAGCCCCCCAGAGGCCCCCGATGCCCTCCGCCCGTATGGCCCACCACCGCGCGTAGCAGGTGGAGAGGAAGAAGCCGAGCAAGAAGCTGCAGAGGTTGTGGAAGTCCGTGATCATCGCCTTGACGTTTTCCACGTCCTCGCTCTGGACGTCCACGCCGAGCAGTAGCAGAAGCGCCAGCAGAGCGCCCGCCACCAGCCAGGTGAGCACCGCGGCACGACGCAGCGTGGCGGTGCGGATCACCGACCCCCGCGCGGCCGCGGCTACGAAGACCCCCAGGCAGCCCATGATGCCCTCAGAGTCGTAATTTAACACATTCTTGTCCACGTACTTCACGTACCGGTTGGAGTTAATGTTCAGATTTGGAAAAGAAGCAAAACACTGCACAAACATAAACTGTCGGAGGTCCCTGCGGATTCTTGGACCGGCGCTGGAATCCCCCCTCCCCAGCGCGCGGAGCGCGCCAGGAGCAGCGCTGCATGCGCCGCACGGCGGGCCCACCGTCGATCCCAAGAAATCCGCGCGGAAATCCGAAAGTGCATGTCTCCGCCGTCTCCTCTCCTTCGGATGGTTGTTCACGATCTCTGGCAGCGTGCGGCCCGGCGTCGCCATCTCCCTCTCCCACCCGTAGCCGGGCTGAGTGACCGGATCATCGGCGGTGAGTGCCCGCTGCCTGCCACCGAGCGGCTCGTCGCCCTCCGGGGTCCACCTGGAGAAAGGGCGGCCCGCGCGCGACTCGGGGCCCGGGAATGTCGTCGATGGCCGCATGCGGCTCTCGGCCTTTGGGCCTGCCGCCGGCAATTCGACCAAAGAGGGCACAGAACTCGCGCCAAGCATAGCTGCGGCCCGCTGGCGGCGCTGACGATGCGATGAGGGAGGAGGGAGCAATGGGGGGGCGGGCCTGGGCCCTGCTGGGTACGTGGCCCGCAGAAGCCTCGCCCTCGGCATTCTTAGGGAGTTCGCGCCGCAGGCTGTCTCCTCGGGAGGGCAAAACACAGCACAAACACCTACCTGTGGAGGTCCGCGCGGATGTCTTGGATCGGCGAGGGGCCTCTCTGCCGGCGCCTCCAGCGCCGCCCCTGGGCGCGCTCCGCACGACAGGGAGGGGTGCCGAGCGACCAAGGATCCGAGCGGACCTCCAAAAGCTGATCCGGTACGATCAAAACCGGTGAAGAATGAAGACGAAGACCGGCAGTCATTCTTCTACCGATTTGAAGCACGACTCGCTGCCGATGTCGCCGCGGACGCCTTCCGCTTGAAAGAGGAGCCCTCCGCCCAACGGCGGCCGCTGACCTTTTGGGACAGCATGTGCCGTGTCCATCTCGGGTGCACCGACTCGACGCGTGGACGTGTGGACAGTGCCAGCGCGTCGCGCCGAGGCGTGGTGTACCGGAACCGGCGGCGCGACACGCTGAGCAGGAAACTCCTGGGCGTAGCTCCCGCAACAGGGATCCTCGACTGCCTTTTGGCTTGCGGGTCGCAGCTCGGCTCTCCAGCGGCCGATCAGGAGGAGCCGGGCACCTCCGGAACGCCCTCGACGAGGCGCAGCTGCCGGAATGCATCCCGGGGCTGGAAAACCGCCGAGAACCGACGAAATCGCTTGAACACCATACTCGACCACGCAAGAGTGACCCTGGGCAAGGGAGTGAGCTCCAGTACGCGGCCGACGGGGCCGCGGGTGGGCCAAATCCTAAGCGCTCAGGGCAATGCTGGGGGGGCCCCCTGTGGGCCCGCACCAGAAGTCATTCTGGCGAAGGGTCACTCTCGCGCGTAGCCGACATATGCTCATGACACTTGCGTGTCTTCGCCTTTTGCCGGCCCGGCCTAAGCAGCCCAGCGCGGGTCTGCGGAGGCGCGCGGCCACCGCAGAGCCGGCCACCCACCATGGTGCCCCATTGCGCCAGGACCCTCCGCCGAGGCCCGGACCTGCCCCCCCAGACCACAGACTCGGCAGAATGACGAGCAGGAGCACGATGACGAGGACGAAGAGGAGAAGGAGTTTCGAAAAAGCGAAGGCGCTTAGGGGAGGAACATACCAAATACCTACACGACCACCCTTCGGGTGATAAGGAGGTTGTGGGGAGGAGGGAGAGGGGAGGAACCAACATCTGACTCAATGGATCTCACGATCGATCTCACTCAACGGGACACCACGGGACACTTGTCAATCTCACTATCGATCTCACTATCGATCTCATTAAACGGGACACCACGGGACACCACGAGACACCTGTCGATCTCACTATCGATCTCACTATCGAACCACCCCCATCCCCCACTCGTCGCCTCAGCGAGGTGGGGGTGAACTGCCCTTCTGGGGTGGTGGTGGGGGGACCAGCAGACCAGCGTAGGATCGCTAGTGCCTCGCGCCGTTCGGCGCTCCCGAGGCTCCGCGAGGCCCCCGTCCGCTCCTTCGTCTCCGAGAGCCCTTGCGGCGTCGTTGTCTCCTCGTGGGCGGGGGCTTTCGCGGGGGTCCCGGGGCGTTTCTCGAGGCCCTCCCCACTCCGAGGCCTTCGGCTGTCCACGGGGTGAGGGTGTCTTCGTGCGTCGCGCCGCGCGTCGGGCGCGGCGCGGCGGTGGCTGCGCGGGAGAGACCGCATCGCCCGCACTGCGTAGAAGGAGGTGGAGGAGGAGGAGGAGGAGGAGGAGGAGGAGGAGGAGGAGGAGGAGGAGGGACGAGGAGGTGGAGAAGGACGAAGAGGAGGAGGATGAGGAGGAGGAGGAGGAGGTGGAGGTGGTCGAGGAGGACGAAGACGTGGTGATGGAGGAGGAAGAATGAGGCGTCCTCCCCATCTCCCTCCCTCATCTGGCAAACTACGCGCACCTTCGCAGACTTCCAGATGCCTCCAGAAACCAGTGGGTGCCTCAGACATCGAACGAAAACTGGCGAAGAGGGCCGCACATCCGCTGGGAATCCTACTCGTGCTCCCGCTGCTGCTGCTGCCGCCGCCGCCGCCGCCGTCGCCGCTGCCGCCGCCGCCGCCGCCGCCGCTGCTGCTGCTGCTCCTCCTCCTCCTCCTCCTCCTCCTTCTCCTCCACCTCTTGCTGGAAGATCGGCTCCGTCTTCCCTTCAAGGCGGCCCGCACCGCGGACTGTTGACGCGGACAGCAGTGACCTGACGTGAGACTCTGCGGTGAGCCTCTCTTGACCTCCAGCGCAATGGAAAACCACAGGACTGCAGCAGACACATACGATAGGAGCTCTTGCTGTAAGCGGAGGGACGACGTCGGAGGTGTGGGTCCCGGGACTTCCAGGCCTGACCAAACATCCCCCCCACGCGGACTCGGGTACGTGGAGCCCGAAAGATGCGGCAGGGCAGGTCGGCTGTGTCCTCGTCGTCCTCATTCTACTTGCAGTCATGGTCGAGGTCATCCACCACTTCCTGTTTCCACTTCTCATCCTCCTCCTCCCCCTCCTCCCCCTCCTCCCCCTCCTTTTCCTCTTCCTCCTCCTCCTCCTCCTCCTCATCGCCATCATCAGCAACATCATCATCATCATCATCATCATCATCATCATCATCATCATCATCATCATCATCATCATCATCATCAGCATCATCATCATCATAATCATCATCATCAGCAGCATCATCATCATCAGCAGCATCATCGTCATCATCAGCATCAGCATCAGCATCATCATCAGCAGCATCATCATCATCGTCACCATCATCATCATCATCATCATCAACATCATCATCATCATCATCACCATCATCATCATCATCATCATCAGCAGCAGCATCATCATCAGCATCATCATCATCATCAGCATCCCCCTCCTCCTCTGTTTCATTGTTTCCCACGTCATCATGAGAATCACCATCATCATCATCACGACCAACACGATCATCAGCATCGTCATCATCAGCGGCATCAAAATCTTCATCATCAGCATCAGCAGCATCAGATTATCAACATCACCATCACCATCATCATCAGCATCATCATCAGCATCATCATAAACATCAGCAGCATCATCAGCAGTATTATCGGCATCATCGCCGCCACCACCACCACCATCATCAGCATCAACATCATCAACAACATCATCATCGTCATCACATCATCAACATCATCATCGCCACCATCATCATCATCCGCATCATCGTATTCATCATCTTCATCGTCATCATCATTAACAACATCAGCATCAACAACATCAGCATCAGCAGCAGCATCAGCATCAGCATCAGCATCAGCATCAATATCAGCATCAACATCAACATCACCACCACCATCCACCTCATCTCCCTCTTTCTATACTCTGATGATGGGCCTGCTGACGGCGACGGCAATTTTGCCTGCGAAAACGGGAACGGCGATCGTGACCACTTGCTGTTCTCAACGCAAGTCTAAGAAATCCGCGCGGATCTCCGACAACCGAACTATGCTTACGCAAACCTATGCTGAATTATGCAGCGGGCTGCTCTTGGAGCTGGATGCCTCACTTCCGTCGCGGTTCCGCGAGACTCCCGCCGGCCCGCCGCCCGAGAGCGAGCCGGCGGGGCCCCGGGGCGGCCCGTCGCCGAGGCCCCCGGCGGGGCCCCGCCCTTCGGAGGCCCTGGGCGGCGGCCCTGGGCGGCGGCCCTCGGCGCCGACCGCGCCACGCCTGGAAGGGGAAGGGGAAGAAGAAGAAGAAGAAGAAGAAGAAGAAGAAGAAGAAGAAGAAGAGGGGGGGGGAGGAGGAGGAGGAGGAGGAGGAGGAGGAGGAGAAGGAGGAGGAGGAGGAGGAGGAGGAGGAGGAGGAGGAGGAGCAGGGGGAGGAGGAGGAGGAGGAGGAGGAGGAGGAGGAATAGGAATAGGAATAACCCTGGGACGCCACACCATCCATCCTGCTAGCAAAGAGAAGGGCGCCTAGGTTCTCCGTCTGGAGGCCTGAGTCGCGCCAGCGTGCTGACCGTCGCCTCACAGAGAGGGACGGCTCGGGCCCAGTGGCGCACCCTTTGGCGCGCAGCCTGTGGCTGCCACCATCAGCGCCAACCTCAGGGAGAAACCTTGCCTGAGAGGTGCACCTGCATTCACAGAAAAAGAGGAGGCACCGCAGGAGGAGGCAGCGCTAGGCTAACCACCTCGACCCGCAGTGCCCCTTCCTTGGCCCCTTCCCCTACCACGGCGAGGCGGTAGACGAGGGAGCTGAACAGCTGGCCCAGCTCCATCAACATTCTGAAACTGAACAGTGGGCGGGGTGGGGTTCGGAGGGGGCTCAAGGCCAGGAGGAGGAGAGATAACGACAGGCGAAATCAGAGTGGGCGGGGGGGGGTCAGGCATCCCCTGCACTCGCCTAGCGGCGGATTCAGAAAGCCTACCCGCCTGCAGCAGCTCACGGGCACGAAGACTCGTGCCCCACACAGGATGAGCACGTCCAGCGCGGCCACGACCGCGTCCACGACTCACTTCACCAGGTCCAGCAGCCGCTGCGCCTCGCGCACCAGCACCCCGCGCGGGGCGCCCCCGATCGTCTTGGTGCCGCCCTGCTCCTTCAAGGTCTGGCGGAGCGCCATCAGCAGGTCGTGCGAGTTCGGCTGATCCGAGCTGAGCAGGAACTGCACCTTCGCCAGGTCGGTCGTGCCGTCGGGGGCTTTGGCTTTCAGCTTCTTCACGCGGCAGAACCTCACCATGTCCGAGAGATCCTCGGGCTGCTCCACCTTCGTCACGGTGTTCGTCCAATAGTGGACTGCCGCTTGCCGCTGCAAGGAGATATATGATTCGCCATCTTTCGTCGCTGCCACTTCCACCACCGCTGCGAACACCCGCAGGTGCGGGGCGCACAGCTTCTTCTTCACGAAGGACGTATTGTTCTGCTTCTGGGCCTCCTTCTCCTTCTCCCGCTCCGCCTGGGCCTCCGCGTTGAAGGCCTGATTCTCCACGAGCGCCGCCTCCACGACCTTGGCCGAGACGGGGACGAGCCACGTGTCGTACACCGCGCCGATGAGCGCGCGCAACTCCGCCTCGTCGCTGAGCACCAGCTTGGCCAGCACGATCACCAACTCGTCGATCGTCTGCTTCTTGGCCGGCTTGGAGCCGACGCCTCGCTGCTGCACGCTTGCCTCGCCCGTCCTGCCCTTCTTGTCGGCTGGGGGCTGGTCGCTCAGCTTTGCCATCCAACCTGGCCGCTCCTGAGAGCCGCCCATAATCAAGATCGTCAGTGTAGCAGTGTAGGTGTCGGTCGTATATACGAATGGCTCGAGGAAAATGTGTTCGGACATGCATCTGATAGTCTGCCAAATCAGCGGCGTGATATTCACACAACAAACAATGTAAGTCGCCAACATCGCATAAAGGGTCCTGAGTTCGACCTCCCCCAAGATAACAACAGCCCCGAATCATAGATCCCACGAGGTGTCTACTGGCCGTGACCGTACTCGAGAATATCCCAAGACAGTTAGGACACTTATTGGTTTTGCAAAGAACGTGCCCGAGGGACCGTAGGTTATGATGAAAACGCAAATGATTCAGAGCAGCTTTTTTATCAGGAAAAACTTCTCCGCACAGAACCTCATTCCCAGACTCCCCGTCAACGGAGCAGACCCCACATACCCACTTAATGTTCGCCTCTTTCTCTGTCTCCACCCCCTCCTCCTCGACCGTGGTGTTGGGAACAAACTCAGGAGGAGGAATAGCCACCGTCTGAGTACGCCGTCGAAGAAGGGCGAAATCAATGTTACAGAAGGCTTTGCCAAGCTCTTTATCCCACCAAAGCGCTAAGAACGACCCCTGAAGGCGCGCGAGCAAGTCCTCGCCGTCCTCTATGGAGCTCAGGGACTCGACGTCCGACGCCAAGGATTAGCGTAAGCAGTGAGACGGCCCATGTAGTCGAACTGGGCTCTGCCATCTGTCGGAAGTTCAGCAAACAAAGCCGTGAGAATCTGCGCGTGTCGACGGGGAAAACGAATAAACTGCACCAGCCAACTCAAACGCCTGACCCGAAGTTCCAGGAAAGCTGGGGTAATTATCCAATGCCTGAATACTTGTTCGTTTGAAAGTATATGCTTATGTACTTCTCCATCCCAGCTAGCCCCTCCTTTCATAGCAACTCTACAGTATTTAATGAACGCTGTATCGATACGTTTACACTGCGCTTCCGTAACTAAGTAAGCCTCCAGATTAGAGATCCCAGCATTCTGAACCCCCATGAGAACTGAGCGACGAAGCCGAAAGGCAACATCAGCAGTAGACCAAAACTTCCCAAGAGAATGAAAAGCAGCCTGCAAGGCCGAGATACGCTTAGCAACCTCCACCGTAATAGCCCCCATCCCATGAATCTGCCCTCCAAGCACCCTCATAGCTGGCGTAACTCCGCCTGCGAAGAGACTAGCATTAGAGCTCCTTAAACTTTGATTGGCAGCGACCGAGCCCTGGCCAACAAGCGAGAGGATGGTGGTCTGCTTATCTTTGTTCTGCGCCCACCCGCCCTCGGCCAGGGCTTCATCCAGTGCAATATTGGAGTACACATTAGCGGCAGCGAGTTCCGAGAGACCTGCATCCATTAAAACAATATCCGCACCTCCTGCAATGTGCAGCTTAGTGAGGTCGTCGGCATACTTAATGAGACTTAAGTCCACCTCCCCGATCCCACCTATAGGGCACTCCACTCTCAATAAATCCTCCATCTCCATGGTCTCCCTCATCGTCTCACTCCACTTCTCTACTGGATATTCATAAGCTCTGCCAAAGCCTTCAACAGCATAAGGATCGCCCATCAGTGCTCCGGAGGAGGAGGAGGAGGAGGAGAGGAGGAGGGGAAGGAGGAGGAGGGCGAGTGCTCGTGTGTTCCTGGAAGGACCCCCTGGGGAAGGGGGGGGGGCTTCCGGTGGGCGGCGCGCGCGAAGGGCGGCGCGGGGGGCCCGAAGACGAGCTGCCCCAGGGCGGCCCACCTCGGCGGCGCGGGGCAGCGGTCGGCCGGTCGGCGGCGGCGCGCGGGGCCATTGCACGTCTTCGCTCGGGAGCCTTGCCGAAGGCACGGACCATCGGCGCCCCTAGATTTGATTTCATTTCATTTCGCTAAACCTGAGGCCCCTCGGAGGCCCCTCGGAGGCCAGCTGACTACATCACTCCCATCTACGGACTACTGCTCTGCTCTTGCTGCAAACAACCGGCTCACAAACAGCGCGCTTTCCTCCAAATACATGGAGCGCCCCTAGATACACGTACTGCTCTCCCATGGGGCTATTCGCCCTGATCGTGGCCTCCGAGCCGGGGCTGTGGTAGTTGGGGCCGGCTGGTGTAGGAATTGCCAGAGCCGGGGCTGTGGTAGTTGGGGCCGGCTGGTGTAGGAATTGCCACCCAACCCCTTCTCAACGCGAGCCGACTATTGAAAGGAAGGCTCCATATAAAAGAACACGTTGTAAGGACACTCTGCTCCGCTGGACCCCTCAGGAGAACATGACAGTGGCAACAATTCCGCACTGCGCAACTGCCCAGGGAGCCACGAGGTCTCGGCTGGATGTGCAGAAGTACTCCCCCACTCCGCTGGGGCTCCCAGGAACCCACGAAAATGGCGACAGTGGCGACAGTTGCGCAGTTCGCAGCCACCCAGGAAGCCGCGAGATCTCGGCTGGATGCACGTCCTTCCCTAGTCCGCCGTGCCTCCCAGGAGCCCGCAAAAGTGGCGAAAGGATCGCAGTTCGCAGCCACCCAGGGAGCCGCGAGGTCTCGGCTGGATGCGCGTACTCTCCTACTCCACCGTGCCTCCCAGGAGCCCACGAAGGTGGCGACAGATGCACAGTTCGCAGCCACACAGGAAGCAACGCAGGAGGAGGCAGGAGGAGGGGGGAGGATTTCAAAACGAGAATCTAATACAGGAGGGCTGGGAACAAGAACAAGCGACACCACCACCACCACCAGGAACCATGAACGGGAGAAGCCAGGGTGGTCACTCTGGTGGTGTAGTCCACCCCCCCTCGCTCGAGACATCCCCTATCACCTATTCCCAGCTCGGGTAGGCATAATGGACCTCCTCGCTGGAGGTGGCACCCCCTGGTGGTGGTGTCGCTGCTCATTCCCCCGAGTTGGTGGAGGTCTTCGCAAGAAAGATTAAGGGCAATTCAACACGAATTCAGAGTCAGTAAGCCAAGATGGGCAAGATTCGGCATTGGATTAGGCCGGATTGAGAGGGCAAAACGGGTTTAAGCTGAATTCAACAGGGTTGAACCAGATTAAACGGGACTGAGCCGGATTAGGCCCGTTTTCGACCATGGATAACTATTCCAGCGCCGATGCTGAATTGATCCTCCCAAGAGGAGTTGCATCCTACCCTGCTTGTCCTCTCGGCATTAGTGCCACAGCACCGAGGGAATGCAAGGCCATTCACTGTATAACTGTTGATCGAGCTCGCTGAGCAAGCAAAGATCAACAGCCAAGGTTGCTGAGCCTTGGCCGAACATCAAAAACATCGTCGCCAGAGCGCGCGTGCTGCCAATTTCCCATTTGTTCGATCCCGGCGTGGTACCTCAGCTTCTGCCTCTGGGGCGTGTTTTCGGGCCCCAGGACCATCCGAAACGGACGCGGGATGAAGAACTGCAATTGGAGGTGGTCGTCGAGAGCTCTGGGGCCGCCGGATTGAAAAATACACGCAAGTAGGAAGGAGTAGGTAGAAATATGAAGTAAGAAGGCGGGTAAAGTAGTTTGGGTTCAGGCCCTCCCAGGGGAAGACAAAACACAGCATGAAAAGAACTCGGATCTGAGAATCGAGAAATACCTACGTTCAACGACCGGCGTGTCAACAAATCGTCGACGTTTCAAACACATCACGGCTGGAGGTCTTTGAGCCACTTCCCGCCTCCCGGCGCCCTCGCTGGCCCCTGGGACCGTCGAAAGGCATGCCCGATATGGAGAGCCGGTTCTGGTGCAGGGGTCCAGACCTCTGTGGGGCCACGATGCGAGCAAGATCGAGAAGCGTCGCATGTCTGAGCGGGCAGCGGCGGACGGGGCTGCGCGGCTGGTATCCGCGATACCGTATCCCTCTTGCTCCCCCCTTCGTCGAGGATCATGGGGGGGATCGAGGATCGAGCCTCGATCGTCGGTGATCCTCGGAGCGTGCGTCCGCGCCACCGCGCGCTTGTCCGCACAGGCCCCGGAATACGACGCAGGCGGTGCGGTGCGAGCCGACACAGGCTGTGCGCTAGCGTCGGATCTGAACGGGAAAAACACACACACACATTGGGCCAACGCTTGTAGAGCCAGCGGGCGCAAAGGTGCGGAAGCGGTCAAGCGCTGGTCGGGCCAAAGGCGGGGCGCGCCGAAGCGACTTGGGGCACAGCGGCAAAAGAGGAGAGCAGAGCGGAGGCGAGGGCAGAGCCGCTCAGCTCGTGGAGACCCCGTGGGGGCCAGCACGCGTGCCCCGAGGATCCACGAGCTCGCCCCCGCTTCGAGCCTCCCGGAGCGCACGCGTCGGCACGGCTCGCTCCCCCCCCCCTGGGCTTTGACGGTCCCCAGCGCGGCCCGGGACGAGTGCCCGGGACCAGAGGTGGCCCTGCGCCTCCAGGATACCCAAATTCGGCAGCGTGCCCCTCCATGCGGGCACCGGGGCCCGCTTCGAACCCCGGGACGGCCGACGCGACAACCAAGCCGCCGGGAGGAGGTCGAGAGCTCCGAGGGCCCCGTGCCACGAGCAGGTCGCGACGTCGGGCTCCCTACCTTGGGATGCGAGCTGTACACGTGTCGTCCTCACCAAGACGTTGGAGACCTGTTCTGCCTCGGACTCGGCGGACGCGCAACAAGCGCTGGGCCAATGAGAAGCGAAAGAAAGCTGTCACTGATCTGTCATGTGATCTTTCTCTCCGCTCAGCTAGCTGCGCAAAACGGCCCCTTTACGGGGCCGCTTGACGCGGCTGGGCCCCTGCCCAGCTCGCTGCGCAAACCGGCCCCTTGAATGGGCCGATTTGCGCGGCTAGACTCCCGCCCAGCTAGCTGCGCAAACCGGTCCCTTCAGTGACGCGACTTTTGCGCGGCCAGGCCCAAGCCTAGCTGGCTGCGCAAATCGGCCCCTGAAGTGGGCCGCTTTGCGCGGCTAGGACCCCGCCCAACGAGCTTCGCGAATCGGCCCCTTCAGTGGGCCGATTTGCGTGGTAGGCCTCCGCCCAGCTGGCTGCGCAAATCGGCCCCTTCAATTGGCCGATCTGCGCGGCCAGGCTCCCCGCCCGACTGGTTGCGCAGATCGGCCCCCTTTCGTGGGCCAGCCTGCGCGTTTAGCCCCCCGCCCAGCTGGCTGCGCAGATCGGCCCCTTTGCTGAGGCGAGTTGCGCGGCTAGGACCCCGCCCAGCTAACTGCGCGAATCGGCCCCTTGAGTGGGCCGATGTGTGTGGGCAGCAAGGCCAAAGCCCAGCAAACTGCGCAAATCGACGAGCGGAGACCGAATGAGGTTCCGAGCAACTGCCGTGCTCAGACTCTGGGAATTGAGCACCAGACCTCCAGCTACCTACCGTACCAGGAAATTCCTCGGGATGGACTTTGAGCACTTGGAACGGGGCTGGGGTCCTCGAAAGCCCAGTGGTTAGAGCGAAGGTCGAATAAGGTGAAGGCCTAGGGCTGAGTGCACAGAGCCTGGACGCGCTATTCTCCAGGTCCCTCCCCGCCCTCTAGAAAACTATCCTTCGACGCAGAATCTACACATACGCACCTCATGTCTGACATTTGCCTCTGTGAGTGAGGATGGCGATGTTGATGAGGATGGCGATGTTGCCGAGGATGGTGGCAACATTCAGAGGCATACGAGAGTTTCGAGCGTATTCCATTCCATTGGCCTCTCTCTCTCTCTCTCTCTCATTGCGTCTGCTTTAGTTTGAGAAGAAGGGGCAGAAACCGTTCTGGAAGCAAAGGATCGGGGAGACGTCAGACTTGTGTTCGGATGGCTCGGGTTGGCCTGACGGGCCCATCACGAGACCCAATCTGAAATTTGACGCGGGCTCCCGCTGCAGACGTCCCACGAAAATTGGACCGTCAAAATCCAGGACGCGCTCGTCAAAAAGCGTCGATAAGCCCGAGTTTCAGCATACCCGAGTCTTACGTCTCGCCCAAAGAAGAGGCACCATCACAGGACCAGCATCCCGCTGCTGGATATACCCATGCGGAGGGCCCGTGCACCCAGCCAAGCGAGGGCCCGAGCGCTGCATAAAGACGATCGGCCGTGTTGTGTTGTGTGGATGTGTGGATGTGTGGATGTGTGGATGTGTGGATGTGTGGATGTGTGGATGTGTGGATGTGTGGATGTGTGGATGTGTGGATGTGTGGATGTGTGGATGTGTGGATGTGTGGATGTGTGGATGTGTGGATGTGTGGATGTGTGGATGTGTGGATGTGTGGATGTGTGGATGTGTGGATGTGTGGATGTGTGGATGTGTGGATGTGTGGATGTGTGGATGTGTGGATGTGTGGATGTGTGGATGTGTGGATGTGTGGATGTGTGGATGTGTGGATGTGTGGATGTGTGGATGTGTGGATGTGTGGATGTGTGGATGTGTGGAATGTGGGAGTGTGTGGATGTGTGGATGTGTGGATTGTGGATGTGTGGATGTGTGGATGTGTGGATGTGTGGATGTGTGGATGTGTGGATGTGTGGATGTGTGGATGTGTGGATGTGTGGATGTGTGGATGTGTGGATGTGTGGATGTGTGGAGTGTGGATGTTTGGATGTGTGGATGTGTGGATGTGTGGATGTGTGGATGTGTGGGTGTGTGGATGTGTGGATGTGTGGATGTGTGGATGTGTGGGTGTGTGGGTGTGTGTGTTGTGTGTGTGTGTGTGTGCGTGTGTGCGTGTGTGCGTGTGTGCGTGCGTGCGTGTGCGTGTGCGTGTGCGTGTGCGTGTGCGTGTGCGTGTGCGTGTGCGTGTGCGTGCGTGTGCGTGTGCGTGTGCGTGTGCGTGTGCGTGTGCGTGTGCGTGTGCGTGTGTGCGTGTGCGTGTGCGTGTGCGTGTGCGTGTGCGTGTGCGTGTGCGTGTGCGTGTGCGTGTGCGTGTGCGTGTGCGTGTGCGTGTGCGTGTGCGTGTGCGTGTGCGTGTGCGTGTGCGTGTGCGTGTGCGTGTGCGTGTGCGTGTGCGTGTGCGTGTGCGTGTGCGTGTGCGTGTGCGTGTGCGTGTGCGTGTGCGTGTGCGTGTGCGTGTGCGTGCGTGCGTGTGCGTGTGCGTGTGCGTGTGCGTGTGCGTGTGCGTGTGCGTGTGCGTGTGCGTGTGCGTGTGCGTGTGTGTGTGTGTGTGTTGTGTTGTGTATTTTGTGTAATGTGTGTGTTGTGTGTGCTGTGCGTTGAGTGTTGTGTGTTGTGTGTTGTGTTGGGTGTTGTGTGTTGTCTGTGCGTCTGTGTGTATTTGTCTGTGTGTATGTGCATATGTGTGCCTGCGTGTCTGTGTCTGTGCGTCTGTGCGTCTATGTGTCTGCGTGTCTGCGTGTCTGTGTGCCTGTGTGTGAGTGTGTCAGCGTGTCAATGTCTCAGCGTGTCAGTGTGTCAGTGTAACAGTGCATCAGTGTGTCAGTATGTCAGTGTGTCGGTGTGTCAGTGTGTCAGTGTGTCAGTGTGTCAGTGTGTCAGTGCGTCAGCGCGTCAGTGCGTCAGTGTGCGTGTGCGTGTCCGTGTGCGTGTGCCGGCGTGTGCGTTGGCGTGTGCATGTGCGTATGTGCGTGTGTGCGTGTGTGCGTGTGTGCATGCGTGCGTGCGTGCGTGGCTGTGCGTGGGTGTGTGTGTGTGGGTGGGTGTGGGTGTGTGTGGGTGTGTGGGTGTGTGTGGGTGTGTGAGTGTGTGTGAGTGTGTGTGTGGGTGTTGTTGTGTATGTTGTGTGTGCTGTGTGTGTGTGCGTGTATGGTGCGTGTGCGTGTGCGTGTGCGTGTGCATGTGCGTGTGCGTGTGCGAGTGCGCGTGCGCGTGCGCGTGCGCGTGCGCGTGCACATGCACGCTTGCGTGTGCGTGTGCGTATGCGTGTGCGTGTGCGTGGTGCGTGGTGCGTGGTGTTTGGTGTGTGGTGTGTGGTGTGTGGTGTGTGGTGTATGCTGTGTGCTGTGTATGTGGTGTGTGGTTTGTGGTGTGTGGTGTGTGGTGTGTGGTGTGAGGTGAATGGTGTGTGGTGTGGGTGTGTGGTGTGTGGTGTGTGGTGTGAGGTGTGAGGTGTGTGGTGTGGTGTGTGGTGTGTGGTGTGTGGTGTGTGGTGTGTGGTGTGAGGTGTGTGGTGTGTGGTGTGGTGTGTGGTGTGTGGTGTGTGGTGTGTGGTGTGTGGTGTGTGTGGTGTGTGGTGTGTGGTGTGTGGTGTGTGGTGTGTGTGGTGTGTGATGTTGGTTGGTGTGGTGTGTGTATGCGTGCGTGCGTGAGTGCGTGCGTGCAGGTGCGAGCGTGCGTGCGTGCGTGCGTGCGTGCGTGCGTGCGTGCGTGCGTGCGTGCGTGCGTGCGTGTGTGCATGTGTGCGTGTGTGCGTGTGTGCGTGTGTGCGTGTGTGCGTGTGTCTGTGTCTGTGTCTATGTCTGTGCCTGTGCCTGTGCCTGTGCCTGTGCCTGTGCCTGTGTCTCTGTCTGTGTCCGTGCCCGTGTCTGTGTCTGTGTCTGTGTGCGTGCGTGCACGTGTGCCAGTGTGTGTGTGTGTGTCCGAGGCGGGGGGCCAAG